GGATAACATTGTCACGGGACATTGAAAGTTCCTGTCTCAAAATAAAAGATAAAATAGGTGTGGGGATGTAGCTGTGTGCAAAGGCCCTGGGTTCAATCCCCAGTACCGAGAGAGAGAGAGAACACCATCTTGAGAACTCAAAAGTATATCATTCAGAATCTTAAAACTCACTAATGGTTTTGAATTTATTACTATCATATTTTAACTCAATTTTCCCCTCAGTTTTTCATTATTCAAATCTTCCAAAGCTTCCTTCACCAAGCTGAATTAATTCCTCACTGCTTTTTCAATGCATTGTGTCTCCTCGTTACCAGTAGTACTGACTATGAATTTTATGATACCTATAGTCTAGTGGAAGAAGACAAAAACCAAACAAACAAGTTAATTCCTACCCTGTGAGACAGCGGAGAGCGACGTACAGACAGGTCATGGGGAAGGGGCGGTACAGAGACTGATGAAATGAGGCCTGCATGCGGATCGGGAGGATGAGAAGGGCGGTGGATACCTGCTTGGCTCAGCTATCAGCAGAGGGAGCCGCAGACCTAGAGGCCCTGAAGTAGACACTTCCTTTCCGAGGACCCACACTAGGCTGGTGTGGCGAGAGCAGAATAAGGGAGGGCACGAGGGAGAGGGACTGAGACCAGACAGCAGCCGGAAAACAGAGTGGCCCGCAGGAAGTCGGGGACAACGCCTTTGGCCTCTGTCCTGAGATGGAAGCATTTGGAGAAAAGTGACAGGACCCACTTAGATTTCAGAAGGTCACTCTGGCTTTTATGCTGATGGCGTGTAGAAGGGGGCATAGACAGGGTGGGGAAGTCGACAGGGGTCTAGGTGGCAAACAGATGCGGGTGAGAGCGGCGAAAGGGTGGTCGGTGGTGAGACGTGGGGATATTAGAAGCTTCGTCACTTTGACTTGCTGATGGATGCCTGTGGGGTTTAATATGAGATGTGCAGCTCAGAGGCAGAGCACTTGCCTAGCATGAGCAAACCCTAGGTTGACTCCCTACCACTGCCAAAAAAAACATCATGCGAGATGTAGAATTTTCCTAAATTTCTCTCCACTCACTGAAATGAGGCTGATGTGTTCACCCTGTATTTGACTGTGTAGGACAGGCACATCAAAATCCAAGGAAAGTTTAAGCATATACGTAAATACACACAAATTTAAGCATACGTATTTAAAATAAATTCTGGCAGTGTTTTTCTTCAAATCGACTTCATTCTGACCCTCCTCGATAGCAACGTTTAAGCTTCCATGAAACACAGAGTTTGTGCTCAAAAAAATTAGACCACAGAAAGATAGGAGTCAGAACGTGGTGCTTTAGACGGCTTCGGCCTTCTCCCTGGCAGAAGTCTCTGAGGTTAAAAGTCAGGGTCTGATCAGACAGTGTATATACGTGTTAGGCAGGCAGTGACTTTGGAAGACAAAAAGAGATTGTACTGTGGGGGAGACCACATTTCCGTGTTAAGACACCACGCTTCCAATGGTCCAACTCCTCTTCTCAGTGACTACAGACTTCTGGGGAAATTGTTCTTTCCCCACGAGATCTGTCTCTATCCTGATCACAGTAAGGAAGACTGTTCTGCACAAGTCACAGTCATTTGCAAGAGAATTTGTGCTTTGTGTCTGTATGGTTCTTTGTGTTTTTAAGTTTTATTGGATCATAGTGGATTTACAAAAACATTATGCATACACCGATACCATCATCACAAACAAGGTACTAAGCACACCCATTCTCGTAAAGTTGCTTGTGATGCATTCCTCCGGTAGTATAAGCTCCAAAAATCTACTCAGGATTTCCCTCCTGAGTAGTCTGGACACAACCGGCCATTTCAAAAGAAAGAGTAATAAACACTCAGCGCTGTTAGCGCCCGCCACCGAATAGTTCCAGAGACCAGCCCTGGGAGAGTCAACCTGCGGTGTCCAGCACAAGCCAGCCTCAGATGGCAGCCGGCAGTGGCAGTAACTGGCAGCTGGCTGTCAACTGCTAGCAGAAATGCACTTTACCCTGTCAGAATTTCCATCTGAATCAAGCCAGAGAACCCAAGGTGGATCGGCAACACTTTGAATCTAACCGTTGTAGTTCCCTAAACTCTGCCTCCCCCTTTACTGGACTTACAGGGCTCAGTCCAGGCCAGTGCTTCTCCAGTCTCTCTCTCACAATGTTATGACACCAGCCCCTCCCCCCGAAACACAGATGCTAGGTAGGAACCTTGGGATTACAGATTTTACAGTCTCCCAGAATGAGAGCCAGATGCACAGTTTTGGAATCTCTAGGCAACTGTGTTGTGCAGCTCTGATGAGGAACCCTGAATGCACAGTGATGAGCTCCGACATCTAACTGCTGGGGCCCAATCCCATTTGGCTGGGGTCCCAGAGGAGGTCAGAAGGCAGGATTGGCACAATCGGGGATGTCCCCAAGCAAGGCCTGACTAGCTAAGGAGTAAAGCCCATCGTTCAAAAGTACAAAGCAGCAGACCCCAGGGCCACGTGGACTGCACACACACACCTTCAACGCCCCCATAGAAGCTGGTCCCTGCCACTAGGAACTTCGGCGTGAAAGGTTGACAGGGTATCTTGTGAAGGCGCTGATGAAACGGGAGAAACCGGGGAGACCGGCAGAGTGCAGTAAACAAAGGGCTGCTTGGAAAGGTTTGTTGCTGGGAAATACACGGGGAGGTGGCCCTCCCATGGGGTTCTGGGCTGGACCTGGATTCCTTGTACCAGGATTCCTGTGCCCGGCAGAGCCCCCAGCCAGGGTGGGTGTCTCGCCCCACCCAGCCTCACTTTCCACTTCAACAGGAACAGCCGAGAATGTTCTTACTAGAATTACAGGCATTCAACCGACGGTACCAGAAGACTTGGTTAACTACATGGAAGAGGGCAAGAGGAGTGAGCGAGATCATAGCACCACTCCATAAAAACCAGATTATTTAAAAGATGAGCAGCGGAAGTGGAAGGGTAGGGGAAAGGAAGTAAGGGAAAAGAAAAAATATGAGAACATGAAAAAACGGAAACAAAGTCTTTGTAAATAGGGGAGGGAGGAGGGGGTGAAGGGAGGGCAGGGACAAGGGGAAAAAATGAGAACCAAGACCTGTCATGTAGAGGTACAAGAGCTCGAATACTGGTGAGTATCTATCTGGTGGACAGGATTAACCTTACAAAGCAGAACCACAAAGAAATTATTGAGATTCCAGAGTAAATGTTTTGAGTTCATGGGCATCAAACCATTGTAAGCAAAAAGAAAAATAACATGCTAAGAAAATATTTACAACAAATGTGATCCTCAGAATCATCTTGAAATAGAAATAAAAACCATCTACTTGGTTACTCGTTCTTTAACATTCAGTCAGGGATTGTAGATGACCTGAGACCACCCAGATGAATCAGAGCTTGGCCTAAAGTATCCCTTGCAGATTCCTACAGTTCAGCTAGGAAATATGCATCCATCATCTTTCAGAGAAGTCTTTCAATTTTCTTGGCTCTAACCTGAAAGACTGGGTTAGGTTTGGGAGCAAAGATTTTTTGTCTATCAAAGCCAGTGCCCCATCTGTGCACAACCCGTGAGAGGTCAGGATTGGCTCAGAACTGGAGTGGCCCTGACGTCCATAAAAATGTTCTGCCCATCCTGTGGTTTCCAAAGCTTAACCCTGGGCATCATCTCTTCTTGGGAGTCCAGGACGGCTGAAGCCTGTTCACTTCACAGCTAGGGACAGAAAAGTGTGAGTGACAGAGGACTAATTTGAGACTATTTTGGGGATGTAGCAGTGAGGGACGTTTCTCATCCAGGCCTCAAACTTGGCCCCACCTGGAAGGGTGAGACCCTGGCTGTCAACTTTCAGCAACCAATGAGGGGCACAGACATTCAGTCACAATTTTTTGCCTGCTTAGAAAGAGGTAGAAGGGAGTAGGAAGGGCAGAAGTGAAAGCAGACCTAAAATAAAAGATGCCTTTCTATGGCCTGGACTTGTTGCTCTCTGAAAGGACTGGGGGTGTGGGAAAGGGGATAAAAATTGATGTGTGGCAGACATCCAGCATTGTGCATTTGTCAAGCCCAGAGGAACACACAATACAGAGCATGAACCTTGCTGTAAGCCCAGTGTATAGTACCTTCCCAGCAGTACACAAGCTGTGCATCAGCTGTAACCTAAGAACCACACTAAGGCAAGGTGTTAAGGATGGGCGAGGCTTGCAGGGCCAGAGGGGATTGCAGGACATCCCTGTGCCTCCTGTTCCATCAGCCCCAAACCACTCTTGAAAAATGCAATCTATTAATTTAAAATAAAATGACATATCTTCTTTCCCAAACAGAAGCGCTAGACAATCTCCACTTGAATGTCCTCTTTGAAGATCATGAAAAAATAGGTCCGGAAGTAGTGATCATGAATGCCACTGAAATACTCTTTGTCCCCCCACTCCCAAAAGAAGGATTAGAGGTGTATTTCAACCAGGTCTTTTATTGGTCTGACAATTGCAAAATATACAAATTTCTCAAAGGCATTCCCTGTTTGAAAGCCAACACAGCTTCAACCCAGGTCATGAGTTCAAGCAAAATGTACAGAACACAAAGAAGTCATAAGTCACACAAAAAGACCCCCAAAACCAATTAACAATTAAACTCAATCTATACAGCTTTCTATGTTTAAGCTCCCTTATACATATTAAATAAATAAATAGCACATCTGCTATCAAAATAATAAAAAAATAAATTTCAAGTATTACAAACGAAAGTATCATTGGTGTGGTTCAAACAGTTTTTCTTTGCCCCCAAAAATGAAGAGCTTTGTTCGTGGTGGAAGGAGGGAGGGAAATTCACTCAAAAACAAATATGCAACGTTAAAAAAAAATTGGTCCCAATTTTATTTTGTTTTCTGGTAACGGGGATCAAAGTTGGGACCTTGCACTTGCAAGGCAGGTGGCAGAACCACAGAGCTAAATCCCCGACACAATTTTGTTGTTTTGGTACCAGGGATCAAACTCCAGACCTTGCACTGACAAGGCAGGTGGCAGAACCACTGAGCTAAATCCCAGCAGGTCCCAGTTTTGTTTCATTTTATTTTGAAGGTGTGGAGGGGAGGAAACCAGTAAAAGCAGAAGTTCCATGACTATAGCTCCGTCCCCCACCCCACCCCGCTTCCTTCTCAAAGGCAGGCCTCAATGAAGCAGGGTGCTACCTCTCCAAGGACTCCCTCACCCCTATTTACGAGCTCTCTCCCCATCTGCCCTGACCACACTGAAGTCTCATGCTAGACAAAGCCTTATGTCTGTACTGACTGTGTCAGCAGAGGTAAGAAGGGACCACACCCTCCTCCAGCCCTTTTCTGCATCAGACTTGAGAGTCTATATTAATGGAGAGGATGAGGCCACAAAGTGATAAGAAACAGTTCTAGGAGTAAAGCTGGAGGCTCCTCAGGGCAAAAAATACTAGCAACCTGCACACAGCCTGCAAAAACCCAAGACAGTGGCAAAGAGAGGAAATAGCCTAAGTCTTAAACTGCCCAAGAGTGCGCACACAGCCCTCTTCTCTCTGGTACCCTGCCAATTAGAAGGGGATCTCAATTAGGGTAATGGATTAATAGTTTCTCTCGGGCTAATAAAAGTGGTCTTTCACTCTAGTGTTCATCCCTGACCCTCATTCCAGGACCTGCCCTCTCGGCTGGAAAGAACACAATCTCAGGGCCTACAGGAAGGTAGGAAGAAAAAGAATAACCTTTGGTACCAGCGATGAGACAGCCTTAAAAGTTATCTGTATGAACTGTACTGCTGAGCTTCCAGGTGGTTTCCTCTGGGCACAGACACCTTCTCCTGCCCTGGTAGTTGAGGGAATGAGGGAGAAAAAACAGACAGGCAGAAACTGGGAGTTGAGAACCACATGTCCCATAAGCCTGGCTTTTCAATGTCTGCAAACATGTCAGATGCCATAGAGACAAAGCAAAGACCACAGTCTACTCCACTGAACTCCCCAAGGTTCCTAGTACGATGCCAAGTAGACGGCACTCAACAAAAGCACGCAGGTGGCATCTGTAAATGAGCCTTGCTGGGCCATCATCCACCTGGGAAACGGGTGGTGGGTAATGCGTCCCGCAGGAAGGGGGCCAATGCTCCCTGTGTCGTTTCACACTTGTTCTTGCAGAGTCCAATGCTCCAAGCCTCCTCATCCCGTGGGTATGTCCCACTCCTCACACTCAGAGGCTCCAAGCCCCAAGGCCTAATGCCGCGACATCTACTGTAAGTTCCTGAAGAGAAGGTGCAACTTTTAGATCACACTTCTGCCACAAAAAAGTGCAAAAGCAAGCAGCTCCAAGAGAGGAATTCACTCCGGGTACCTCAGAGTTCAGGTAGGAGAGCAAAGGATGCTCAGAGCTCCCTGGGAGAGGGAGCCCCCCGTTATCCCCTTTCAGCAAAACACACCCTTCAGCCTATATGCAGCCAGCCCGCGCTCGAATTCAGTGCTGGAGATGTGAGGACATGCAGGGGAGCCAGGGCACGTCACTGCTGCCAGGTGAGTCTTAGCTCATGGACTTCTCAGGAGGTGATGCCCAACTCAGCCCATGCCCAAGTCCCTCAGGCAGCATCTCCCCAGCCAAGACGCACAACAGAGCCATGTGGAAGTTTTCAAACAGCCCTGGGCCTTCAGCAGTTAGGGTCTAATCTTCCTCTAGCTTCAAGATCCTTTGACAGTCCTGTCTCCCCAGCTAGGATCATGCCAGGGCAGGATCACGGTAAAAAAACAAGACGCAACAGGGCCCAGCGTCCCTCAGCTCCTCTACTATTCCTTATCCTCCCAGAACCTTGTTTGGGGTCTGAGAGGCTAACCAGCCCTGCCGACCCAGGAGAGCAGAAGGTGGAGAGGCTGGGAGCGCACCGCCTCAGGATTTAGCGATCCACATGGCTTTCGGGCGTCTCAGCCATTCTCATTGTACGGGGTGCAGCTGCTCTTCCACCAGCAGGTGCCCTCCTCCTCCTCCACTCGCTCTGGTGCAGATGAAGTCCTCGGGATCACTTAGGTCTTGGGCAGATGGGAGCGCACAAGCTAAACTGCAGAAATGGAAGCGGAATGGACGAGATGTGTTTGCTTCATTGTTTCTTGGAGGAGTCGGCACCGCTCCAGGAGCCCTTCATGTTCTGTTTTCAGGAGAAAGGGACAAGGGAAGGAATTAGGATTAGCTGCTGACTTGCTTTCCAAGCAGAAAGCCAAAGCCATGCCACTGAGACTCCTTCCCCTCCCTCTGCCCCAAACGAAGAACACAGCCCAGAGAATGTCATCACAAAACAGGTGGAAGAGCTCAGGTAGGTCTCAGAACACGAGAACGGGCCAGACATGGGCCAAGAGCCTGCATAGCACCTGGCCATTTTCCTGCCAAAAAGAGGTAAAGGAAGGTGGGACAGGCATGGGGCTGGGAGCGGTTAGACAGTGCTTCTAAGAAAGAACGGGACCTAGGGAGCCCTTGAGGTGCCACCAGGAGCCTCAGGCTAACACCCCCTAGAAGCCCAGGGCTGCTCTCTGAACCATGCAGGAGCCCCACTGGCCACAGCCAGGTGGAAGACAGCTGAGGACCCCAAGCAACATCGCTTCTCTTCTCCTCAGCTGCAAACAGAGCACCATGCTCAGCTCCCGGTACCAGACTCTCGGCACGCAGGTGACGGATGGGATCCCTGGACATGGTAGGGAGGCCCAGGTGGGGAGCCAGGCACGGAAGACTGTCCTGAGTCTGTCTGTCTTGACTGGAAGTGACCTAACAGGCAGTCTCGCCCCCAAGACTGACTCGTATTGATGCCTCTTAAAATATTCTTAAAACACCTGGGGACACTTGTGTGCTGCCACTGCACAGCAGGGGTCCCTCCCTGAACTCCCTTGTAAAAAAAAAAAAAAGAAAAAACAAAACAGCACAATATTTTTAAAAAATCCTCTCCAGTGCTAAGTATCTACTGTTCTGCAAGGGGCAAGAGGAGAGGGTAAGACCCAGGCAGACAGGTATGCAAGGGTGGACTCCACCCATCTCAACCCACACAATTAGTCCCCTGGCCAGAGAGTCACAGGGCTGGGTAGCACAGGAGCCACCATTCAGATCTGGGTGGGACGCAGAACCCCAGGCAGCCGGTGGGCTCTGTGGGGGTGTGGGTCCTCGTCCTCTCCCAACCAGAAAGAGTCCCCGCCAGGCTGTACACACATCCCTCTACCACAGCTCGCTCCAACCTGCCCTGGGACACCACAGGCCCATGGCTTCCGGCACCCACGTGACGACAATGCGACAATGACACCAAGAACCCACGTCATTCACTCGTGGGGCTCCAGGCTTGGGATACTTGAGGGGAGCAAAGACAGATGGGAAAGGATCTCATGACGATGGCACGCCCTGTGAAACTGCCTGGCATGGATACATGAGCCACATACTCCACAACGGCCAGTCTGCACACAGACCAAGATGCCCTACAGCTGAGATGCCATGACTTGGAGAGATGCGGGAAGGAACAGAGCGACATGCAGCCAGTCATTTACCTTTCCAAGGTTAGTAAGGAGAAAACTTTGAGAAAATGTGACAGACAGTTCGTCTTTCAAGCATAGTGGAGAAGAGAAAACAACAGGTTGGAAAAGGAACAAAAAATCTGTAGTAATGTTTTTCTGGTGTGCATTTGCTATTTTAAAACGAAGGATGCACTGTCAGTGTCAGGTGGTCTCCACACCAAGCAGCTAGCACAGAGCCCAGGAAGACACTATAGAGCACGGGGAAATCCACGGTCACCAGCAACACACCTCAGGGGCTTTCTCTCCATGAGCTCCAGCTGCTCGTGGGAAGAGATCCCACTGGCACGGGGCAGAAGGAATCGGCAGCACCAAAATGCAGGCTCACGCCCAGGGGAACCAGACTGTTAGTGAGACCTGGGCACCAAGTCCCTCCCTGGTAACAGCAGCGGCCACTGTCCAGCAGGTCTTATTAGGTGCCACCAGATAAACTGCTAAGTGTCTTTTGTTTTGTTTGTCTGTCTGTTTTTGAGACAGGTTCTCACTGTATAGTTCAGGCTGGCCTTGAACTCACTATGGAGCCCAGGCTGACATAGAACCCATGGCAATTCTCCTACCTTAGCCTCCCAAGTACTGGGATTATAGGTGTGTGCTACCACGCCCGGTCTAAGTGTCCATCTGAATTCTCAATATTAAAACCCTTAAGAAGTTATTATCCTCCATTTTACAGATGAAGAAATTCAGGTCCTAGAATTGCTCTAAACTTCCCAGAGTTCCAAAGACTGTGGCCTTTAGTAGAACCAAGACACAAACCTGGCTTCATCTGACTTTAACAATACATTTTGGTCAAAAGGTTCAGGTCAATCCTAGAATCAGATGTTTCTATGATCCAAGAGGTGCGGTCATATTCACGGGTTGGGCTGGACTCTAACTTTGCTGATCTAGAGGGATTCTAGCCAAAAGCACCCTTAGACTCACCTTGGAGATAGACTAGCCTGCTGTGGAAGGGTAAGGGGGTCAATCTGAATGGCCCCTCACAGCAGGAAGATGATTGCTTCTGGAGGATTAGGATAAACCAGGTGTTGTGACACACACCTGTAATCCCAGCACTCTGGGAGACTGAGAAAGGATTACAAATTTGAGTTCAGTTTGGGCAACTTAGCAAGACTCTGTCTCAAAATGAAAAAAAATAATAATACATTAAAAAGGGTGAGAATGTAGCTCAGTGCAGAGGCCTTGGATTCACTTCCTAGTGCTGCAAAAAGAATTAATACATGCACACGTACAGAACCATAAACTCCAAACTCAAAAGCTACTTTTCACACGGGAGAACCCGCGGCCCACAAGTAACTTATGTGCTCAAAGACTGGCTCCAAAGGACCACAGACATTGGCTCATGAGGACGCCTTACCAGGAAGCTAATGACAGACCCACCATTAGGCATGGGAAGTAGCTGCAGGGCCACTCTCTCTCCCAGCTGCTCCCAAGAGTTAGCAGGGAGGAAGACACCAGCCCCCAGAAGCAGGAAGCCCTGTTCTGCTTCTGTTCCTACTGGCTAGGTGACCAAGGCCTTACCTATTAAATGGGGAGGAACTGCCCCACCCACATCCTGGGGTTATTTAAGAATCAGGGTCAACAGGCACGGGCCATCTCACTGTTTGTGAGCTGTACAGCCCTACAATTACAACTGATTCTGTGTGGCTCCACCACAGTCCAGGTGTGATGCCGTACTCCTGTTTTCCAAATAACCCTAACTTTTCAGCTCACCCAGGTGATCAACCCTTCCCAGTTTCTGCTTAAATCCTCCAGGTAACTTAATGAGCACAAAGGGAATAATGGGGCGTGGCTGGAGGGTTGGGGTGGCGTCTTACGGTGGCTGGAAAACGAGGGGACCAACAGAGCAACAGAGACGCTGCATTATCTCCCAGTGGCTGCCACAGCCGATGCTGAGCCATTCACCGGAGAGCTCCGGCCGAAGGAGAGGGGTGACCGACGGCCTGATGGCAAAGCGATACTCACTGCTGCCTGGGACTTAGGGCCAAGCACGTTCTGATAAAAGACAACCAGATCTCCAGGGAGGTTTCCACAGACCTCCGGGAGCAGGAGGCTCCGGCCATGACACACTACCAGGGTAAATCCTCACACAGGCTCTGAGTAAATTTCCCTTTCAGAATGAAGGACGCTTCCCTGGGAAGGAAGGGTGCGCACAAGGCTAGGGCAGCAAGCCAAGCCCCACTTCTCACCAAAAGGTGACCCTAACAGGGATCCGCGACCATGACCAATGCAGCTAACCCTCAAACCCCAAGAGCAGCTCCGGAGAAGCAACAGAACATGCTCGGTAGCAGCTGGGCCACACTGCCACCTTCACACTTCTCTCCACGTTCACGAATTCCCTCCTAGTCTCCTCCACCCTGGGGAAGACCTCAAGCTTCACAAAAACTGTCCTCATCCTCAGAATTTTAAGAGGCAGGAAGGCACACGGGCAAGCAAGACAAAACGAGCGCAAGCAGCAGAATTAATTCAGAAATACTTACAGACAGGCTTTACCTAGCAAAGGCTGCAGGGAGGAAAAGAGAGAGAAAGAGAGAGAGGAGTCAGTCAGGCGGGGCTGGGTATCACCCGGTGGGACCAACCCTGACAAACCTCCTCTCTGGTCCAGCCAGAGGCTCCCAGGTTGCCCTAACAAGTTAGCAGTCCTCAAGGGAGAGGCCGGGACCCCGCCACAGTGACCTACACAATCAGGGTCAGTCAGTGCATCCACCCCCAGCCAGCCAGCTCCCTTCAAGCATCCCGAACAGTGGCCTCTACACCTCTCAGTAAGACCTTGCAGTGCACGAGGACAGAATATCATTGCGATACTATTTTCTAGCTTTGCTCGGTTTTCATTTAAAAGCCCAGATAGAGACCTAACGCAGATGTTTATCAGAAGTCATCTAGTCCTGTGCCTTCAGTGCACAGCAAAGGAGACCGGGGGCCAGGGGTGAAGTGACCACGCCACTGAGATCCTACACATGTGCGAATGGCCAGGTGACAAAGTCGGGCCTCTAGGCTGGACCCTGCCGTCTCACTGGACACACACAGTCCTACATCCTATGCGCGTCAGACACCAGGTTTCATGCGTGGCACGACCCGACTCGTCTGATCCCAGCCCTTCCACGATGACAAAACTGAGGTCCGGGGAGGGCGAATGACCCACAGAAGTGGCCGCACTGTCCCCCATCATATTCTAGGCTCCAAAAGGCCTAAAGACGCTCCAGGGATGGCAGGAAGAGTTAGTGGGCTGCAAATAAAGCGCCCAGAGGGGCTTGGCAAAGAGCTCACGAACAAGATCAATCTGAGCTGCTTCAGCTCGTATTGATTTGTAAGAGGCCAGGCACGGGAGGTCCTGGGGTGGAGATGCAACTGGAACTCGAATTTTCTGCCTCTTACATATTTGCAAACGATCTCGGCTATCTTTCAGGAAATGGCCTAGTTTTCAGAAGGTAAATCTTAACACACAGTTGCTGAAATCTTTCCATTTCAAGTCTTCCAAGCTAGTGAAATCTTGTTGGGTTAAGTTCTATTTTGGTTTTTACTGCCCAGTGGAATTCTCATGTTCTGTGAAAAGAGGCTGCTTCCCAATTATCCAGGCTGACACACAGCCTCTGATTCTCAGGCGACCTTGCTGGCTCTGGGTATGGAATGGGCTCCATCCAGGCCCTGTGCTTTCCTTTCATGGGAGTGACCACAAGAGAGAAACCAACCACATGCTCAGCAATGGGGTGGGACACAGAAGATGCTCAAGGCTGAGCACGGCAGCATACCCCTGTCAGCCCAGCATTCGGGAGGCTGAGGCAGGAAGGCTTCCCTAAGTTGGAGGCTGGCCTTGACTGCATAGGGAGTTGAAGGCCAGCCTGAACTACACAGTGAGACCTTGTCTCAAAAAAAAAAAAAAGAAAAAGAAAAAGGGAGAAAAGATGCCCAGAACTGGACAGAGATTTATTTCCACACCGGTAGACCACTGTAGACGTTTTTGCTTTAGAAGTAACTACTTGCTAGTGTGAACAGGACTTAGACATTTCACTCTGTAGCTCAGCCCGCTCTGCCCAGCTCTTCCCTGTAAAGGACATGCAGGCAGGCACGGTCTTGTAAGAGTTTTCAGAATGGGCTCTTGTGTCCTAACCCCTGTGCGTGTATACAAATATACAACACACCACACACCCCTACAACACGACAGCACACGTATGCATAAACACACACGCACACACCCCTACAACACGAGGGCATGCATACGTGTAATCTCACACACACACACACACACACACACACACACACACACACACACACACACGGTCCCAGGCAAGGAGGACAGGGGCGTCACTGACTTGTCCAGGCAGCTGTGTGGGCACCTCCGGGGGCAGGCAGCCGGGCAGGGCAGAAGTGGAAGCCACATGCTCCTCAAAGCTGTTGATGCGAGGCTTTTTGGTGGGCTCGGGGCTGGCTAGTGGGGTGACACTATTGCGTCTCATGAGCGGGTTAGGTCCCTTCTTTGCGTCCTAAGCAAGACAAAGACAAAAGAGAGAGGGAGACAGTTACAAGGAGGGGGAAGAGAAGGAGATAAGGCACAAAGTCTCCCCACTCCTGGAGTTTAGGGTTACAACCCGACGGACCAAGGTGAGTGGCTGGGGACCTTGGGCTGCTGTCTTTGCCACGATTGATCGGTGCCCGGTGGTAACAGGGGCGGCTCCCTCCCACACCCCTCCCATGGACCATTCCAAAGGCATCCACACAATGCGACGTGTGCAAAGCAGGGAGGGAAGTACTGAGAACCAGAGCTGAGAAAGAAGTCAGAGAAAAGAACCTTGCTTCCAATCCCCGGAAGGCCCAGAAGGGAGCCCAGAAGGTAGACTTAAGTCTGAGGCTCACAGGTGGGGGAGCAAAAGGTGTCAGCACTAAGTCCTCTTCCTCTAGGACCTGCAGCATGCAGGCACACCCAGAAGTGGTCCCTGCTCACACACCATACTCTGCTGTGCATGGGACACCAAGGCTTCAAACCGGCCAGAAGACACAGACACAGAAGCGAGGCAGAAGGCGGAGCCTCTACCCGCTGGCTCCAGACACCAGCCCTCCTAGCATCGACCTGACAGGTGTGAGGCCTGGGGTCCCCTGCGGAGCACAGCCCAGAGCCTCAGAGCTGAGGGACAGCTGTTATAATCCTGCTCCACTGCAAGGAAGTGGAATGAGACCACTGGCGCCAACTGATGCCCAGTTCCCTGCTGGAGCAGCAGGCAGGAGCCAGGCCAGGAACATCATCACAGAGTGCAGCTCCCAGGAGCCCTTGTTCAAGGTGGGAGGAGACGCAGGGGCGGGGCAGGGAGGCCGACGGACACCACCTGCTTTCATTTCGGTCCACAGGGAAGAGGAGCAGTAAAGTGGCTGACATCTCACGTGCTATGAATGCCAAACTCTGATGGCCAAACTCTTGGGGAATAGGGAAGTCAAGTCACCTACTTGGGGGACTCCAGGGCAGCAACGGACAACCCTGTGTAAGAGGAATGTCAGACTGTACTGGCAATGACTGTACTGTTACACTCTGACAGCATATATAAAGCAAATTCAAACTCACTTTCACAGTGCACGCCTGGACCGAGATCCGATCTGCTCCAGTAAAATTCTACGTGCCCACCCTTCAATCTCAGAACTCCCCAAAGAAGGCAGTGACAACAGACACCGGGTCTCCTGAAAGGCTCTCCCGCCTGTCTCCCAGCCTCCTGTCCCTCTCTTCTCCGAATGCTGTTGGGTTCTTGCTTCCTCTGAACCTGAGCTTGTGCAGGTGACCATGCCAACTGGCCGATCCCGTCTGAGCCAGGGTGCTGGGACACCGAAGCAGAGTCAGCTGCCTGAAAAGTGGCAGCGACTGTGCTCAGGTTCTGTTTGGAAGGGCAGAAGCTCTCTCTCTCTCCTTTAATGCTCACTTCTCCGCTTAAGTGGAAACAGCAAAGGGAGGAGCATAAAAGGGGAGGAAAAGAAGAAGAAACAGATGCCGAGAAGCCAGAAGAAAACAGGGCAAGAACAGCGAGACGCTAACCATAGCAGCCAGACAGACCAAGGGCCAAGAAGTCACTCTGGTAAGAACCCAGCTAAAGGCACCCAGTCACAGGCCCTCCCGAGGTCCCCAGGATGCGGCCTTGGGGCCAGCGCTCACCTCTGGCCTCTCCCGGTGTGTGCTCACGGACTCCACGTTCAGGTAGATGGACTCCACACGGCAACCTGCGGGACAAAGGACGGGGGAAGAGGACAGCCTCTGTTAAAGGGCTGCCGCCACAGCCCCCGGGGCAGGGCTCACTGAGGGCCGCTACTCACCGTAAGCAACAGGTGTCAGTTTCAGAACAGTGTGAAGGGGGCATCTCAGGTAGGGCATCTCCTCTGCAAAGAGAAAGGTGGTCCCACAATTCCATATGAGACTCTCTAGGGGAAGGGGGAGGTGTGAAGGGGCATCTCTGGGCCCAGAGCCTCTGCCATGCAGACCCCAGAACAGAAAACTGTGCCTGCATGCAGGGCACCCTCTTCCGGTACAGACCATCCTGCCCAGGGCAGAAGGCCCTAGAAAAAAATACCTTGTCAAAAGAACACAATCCAAATGAACCAAACAAAATACCACTTTCACCCAAGTAAGTGGTTTTTGGTTTTTTGGTTTTTTTGTTTTTTTTGAGACAGGATCTTCCTATGTATTCCAGGCTGGCCTCGAACTCACAGCAATTATCCTGCCTCAGCCTCCCGAGGGCTGAGATCACAGGTGAGCACCACCACATCTAGCTAAAGTAAGTTTTTTTAAAAGCGGAAGAGGCTTCAAATATTTGGCTAATTTTTTTTTTTTAATTTTCCAAAAAATTTTAGATCTGTCTAGTGGTTAAGCAGAAACTTTGACAGACATAATACTTAAAGTGTTAATAGCATCATTCAAGTTTTCTGGGCTGTTTGACCTTGGAGGTAGGTTGATGAGAAGAGCTGCCCCCACACCCAACGCCAAGACCCTCAGATGGGTGAAGGCCGGGTGAGGGCTTTAAAAGAGCTGTGTTATGAGGTGGTAGGGCTGGCGGGCATCACACTGTGCGCAGCAGCATTGCCTAAGGGTTGCAAGGAGGCACTGGGTGGAGAGGACAAGGATGCAGGCAGGGAGCCAGGCTCATGGCCAGCTTTTCCGAACTTCTGGCCTTGTAGCAGGATGATCCTAGTGTGTCTTTGGCCACAGGCTTCAAGGGCCAGTTTCCTTCTGCCCTCCTTCTGGGGCCACACCTGCCCGGCGGTACCTGCACTCTTATCCAGGAAGTAGGCGAGCAGGCAGCGCAGGACAGCCTGGTGGCAGATGACCAGTACGTTTTCCTGGCGCTCCAGCTCCATGATCACCGGCTCCAGACGCTGGACCAGGTCCTGATAGGACTGAGCACACAGGGACAGGACATGGCATCAGAGCAGAGGACACTGGGGAAGACCGCTGCCCCTGTCCCCAGGCCTCTGTCATCACAGACCAGACAGCTAATTCACCCATCAATCCATCAAGCCACCCGCCTTCCAAGCGCTCAGCTCTGCATTAGTGAAATGATCTTAGGAGGTCACAAACTGGCCATGAGTCCTTCCTCTTCCTGCTGCTCTCCAGGGCTGCAGGGGCAGGCGCTACAGTGGAACCTGATTGGTCACAAAAGCAGCAGCGTCCTGACACACGCTCTGGACTGGAGGAACCTCAAAAATTCTTACACAAAAGTCCATATATATCGCCTGATTCCACTTCTGCGCAATGTCTACACTGTGGGGCCACAGAAAAAGCAGATCCACGTTTGCCAGGATTAGGGGGTAGAGGACTTGGTCTGGCTGCTGAAAGGTCTGAGGTGTGTTTTGGGAGCGAAGAAAATGGCCTGGAGTTAGCAGTGGTGGTGACATGGCCCTGAATCCAGCTGGCCCCGTGGTCCCACAACCATGAAGACCGAAAGACTCAGGGAAGAGGACTGCGCCTGTACTGAACACTCCTAAACAATACAACTCACAACTATTTAAGTAGCATTTGCAGTGTATTAGGTATTTCAAGTAATGCAGCGATAACGTATACAGGGGGATGTGGATAGGTTACATGCAAATGATTACATAAAGGACTTGAGCATCTACAGATTTTTTATCTGGGAAGGTCCTGCAGCCAAGCCAGAGAATAGCAAGAAACCACTATATTCTACAAATCAGAGTTAAACACTTCAGCCCAGTCAAAATTTTGTATCAATTAAGAAACACAAAAAGGAGGGGTGGAGGGCGACCTTCACCAGCGAAGCTCCTTTGGACGCTGATCTTCCTGGGCCCTCCTCTACCTCCTTCGCTGTCCTCCTGACCAGGGGCCCAGTGAGTGAGGGCCAGCTTGGGACAAGAGCACCAGCTGGCCCGTCGGGGACTGAGGCCGGCAGGCGCTCAGAAGGGCACGGGCACGAAGGGATCCCCGCTAGGTGTCAGCCCCCGCCTGGCCGGGCTCCCGGAGGACCGCAGAGTCTGCATTCTCCGAAGCACCACGGTGGCTGCTTGCTGTGGGCGACAGGGGAAACGCCCTCTACCAGCGCCAGCTCAGATCCCAGCACAAGTGTCATGAGCCGAATTCCTCAAAGCTGGCCTGTCCGACGCCTCATCCGCGGCCCTCGGGAAATGCCGTCTGGGGTGCAGCACACCCACCAGCTTCCTCTTCCCCGTCTTTACGTACGTACGCCATCAGACGCATCCACACACCTCACTTTTGCTTATAGGAAGTACAACTGCTTCCCTCCCAAGGCTGTGAAAGACTAAGTCCACAGTGGCAGCGGGAGGAAGGAGTCTGTAGAATGGGTCAAGAGGGTCGAGTGGACAGCTGCTGCCCGGTAACGGGGTCCCCCGGCCCCGAAGCCCTCCCCTCACCAACCCCACGCCACCCGCTCCCGGCCGCGGTGCACAGCAGGATGGGGCGGCCGGCTCGCTCACCTCGCCCGCTGGGTAGCGGTAGTAGTACTTGTCCTGCTGGCGCAGCACATACTCCTCCGGGTACGTGTCTCTGATCTCCTCATAGGTCAGCTCCTCGCAGACGCCCTGCCGGAAACCCTGCCTTTATTCTAGGGGACTCACCACAGGGCCTGAAGGGACCTCCAGATGCCGCCCAGGACGCCCAGAGGGAAGGCTCCCCGCTCCCGCCCAAGCGCTCGCCGCGCCGGCCTGGAACTCACGGCATCGATTTCGTTCAGCGCCTTCCACTGCTCGTAGGGGAGCTGCAGGGCTTCCGCCGTCTGGATGGTGCTCTTCAGCTGGCTGGTCCACACCCGGAGGTCCTTCAGGTTCTGCTCCCCCACAAACTTGCTCAGGGCGCTGGCAAACTGAGGACGGGAGGCGGGGTGCTCACTCCTCAGGTCCAGCTGGACGCTGTGGTGACCCAACAGTCACCAAGGGCAGCTGACCGCTGGGATACACCCTCCAAGAGCCCGGGAAACTCGGCTCTGCTTCCCCTTCCCTTCCCACACTCGCGGCCACGCACACACGCACACACAGATACAAAAGGACACACGGATGAGCACGTACAGCGGCCACTGCCAGCAAACACTGCATACCGCGCGTATTATCTCCAGGGTGCCACCCCCCCAGACAGGAGCTGGTCACCGTCTGACACCTGTCGGCCCCAGCCCCCTCCTCCCCTCTCCTACCTTCTTGCCCCTGCAGGACAGGCCTGAGTCACCCCCGATCTTGCCCTGCAGGTTGTATTCGTTCTCGCCGTGCCGACAAAGGTAGATGGTGCGTGGCTGTACGTGGATGTTCATCAGATAGTACACAATTCGGCTCTGGATGTGGTCCTGGACTCTGTTCACCAGGAACCTCCGGCCAACATCGATCACTTTGATTAGCGACAAGTCCCTGAGGAGAAATGCTACTGAGGACCACTACTCTGGCCACATCCACAGCCCAGCAGCACACCCGGCCTGGGCCGGGCCCATTTCCCGAACGCTTGCTGTCCAAGGGATCTGCAAGGTTAGACAATCCTTCCTGCACACCACAGAATGCATCTTCCTTTCTGCAGTCAGGGAGCAAAATCAAGGCAGTGATTCCCACAGCGGGGGACAGCAGGCCCCCCAGGAGAAAGGGAGAGAAAAGCAAAATGCGGAAAAGAGAGTGCAGGAGCTCTCAGAGGTTTCAAGACGGGACCCCTCTGGACACAGATCCCCACTTACACAGAATAATGACTCACACTGGAAAACTTTCTGCTTAGACATATTTGTCCTGAATACGGGTTCATAGCTGATGATGTTGTTTTTAACAAGACCTTTTTAAAGTTTACTGAGGTACCCAGGGGCAAATCCTTGGTGAGCATATCAAGAAAACATTACATGCCCTAATGTAGGTGATTCAGAACCGGGCAGAGAATTACTTACCTGTCGCTTTTATCAGGGTCGAGGGGCTGGTAGCTGGCTTCATAGCAACTGATTCTCTTCATGAAGTCGTCCATGGCTTCTGCTGAGTTGCAGTCTTTGTAATCCGGGCTGGAGATTTTCACTTCCTGTAACATCACAAAGAGGAAGCTGATGAATCACACTGGAAGGCTTTCTGCTTAGATTAAGCAGGATTTGGGGCTCTGAAAAGGGGAAGCCCAAAAGGCTCAGAATAAAGATTACCCTACCCAGTGTCTAAGCAAAAAGAGAAACTGGGGGTTGAGTCACAGCCCAGTGATTACGTGGGGAAGATGCCCAGCAAAGACAGAACTGCCGGCTGGACAGACATGGGAAAAGCACAGGGATCCTGTAATGCACACCTCTGAACAGACCACCGAGCCTGGATCAGTGCTGTAAGCGAGTCACCGCCAGACAACCTGGCTTTCAGCAGAATCCCACATAAGCACTTGGAAAGCTCCTCACACCGAGTGAGGTTAACTGGTAATAAAAGGTGCAGGACTTGTTCCTAGAAGTGCGCCTGGCCTTGGGTGGGTCCCTCTCCATCCACCCAGAGGCAGCAGTACTCAAGCAGATCTATGACTAGGCTTCAATCCCTACTCGGGAAGTTTTTGCTATCTGTGTTTTTATTTCTCTTTAAAAATGGTCACAATGCCGGGCGTGGTGGCGCATGCCTGTAATCCCAGCACTCAGGAGCCTGAGGCAGGAGGATCACTGTGAGTTCGAGACCAGCCCGGACTACATAGTGAGTTCCAGGTCAGACTCAACTACATAGTGAGACCCTGTCTCAAAAAATCAAAACCAAAAATGGTCACAACTATGAGGCGGCCACTCTTCAAAGATCCAAGCCAAGGTCTGGTAGGCAGATAAAAGGAGACGAACGGTGGTGATGGCTACCAACAATGGGAATGTATACGGCCACTGACCCGGATGTAGCTGTAAAAATAACTACAGTGGCAAATTATACGTCATGTGGATTTCATAATTTTTTTAAATGTCCAAGTTCACAAATTCCTAAGTGTCACCTGCAGAGTCACTTTGAGGTTTAGAGAAAGACTTCTGAACACAGAGGTCAGGGTAAACATCGAGCTGTGTTAATAGACTACAGCTAAGGGATAATTCCTAGCTAAGTATGCTGATGACTACTCACTGGGGAAAATGACCTCACAGCTGCATTCTGCCTCACTAACAAGTGGAATAAGGAAAGCAAAACCAAAAGGAAAAAAAAAAAACTCTCACAGGATGTCCCTTTGTTTAGATTATTGCAACGTCTGTTTCCTTGTACCCTGGGCATCTTCCTTTGGACCCAGTGAAACTCATTTGAACTCAATTCAAATGGCCCTTCCTGAAACAGGGACTCATTTCTTAGAAATGTTTGTAATTATTTCCACTGCCTTAGAGAAAAGGACCAATATATGAAGCTAAGGCACGCTTAAATCCCCTTTAGAGGTGAACATTTATATGCAGCAATACCACAGCATTCCCGGCCTATAAAGAACTGCTTCTCAGCCGGATGTGGTGGCGTGTGCCTGTAATCCCAGCACTCGGAAGGCTGAGGCAGGAGGATCGCTGGGAGACCAGCCTGGGCTACATAGTGAGTTCCAGGTCAGTCTCAACTACATAGTGAGACCCTGTCTCAAAAAACCAAAAAAAAAAAAAAAAAGTGCTTCTCTGTAAACGTCTTATACAGAAAATGACCTGTAACACAAGAAGATGACCTGAGAGGAAGCCTTCACTGTAACCATTTCTGTTCAAGATACACTGCTAATAAGTGATAAAATTAAGAATTAATCAGATAATGTTGCTGATTCCCCTCAGCTTATGTGGGCAAGATCCTCACGGTACAGTGCAGATGAGGAAGGGGCATGCCACGGGTTCGTTAGCTGCTAGCTGCATTAACAGGAAGACAGTTTCACAACATCCCTTCTTCCCAGGCTAGGTAACTCTGCTATGAACATACTGAGTCCTAGGTTTTTGTTTCCACGTGGCCGCTCTTACTCATCAGGGACCTTAAGAGCAGAAAAGATCAACTAACTGGCTGCTTTCTGTCCGGCCAGGACTGGGGAGCGGCTCCTGCCCTTGCAGACACTGCCCCCGGCCTCTCCACACTGGCTCCTGTCCCACCCAAAGCTGTGTAAAGTCCTCAAAGATCCTGCATGGGGCTGGTCCAGGTCACAGACTGAACTTTTAAGTTAAACGTCTCTGTGTCTCTCGCCTTCTCACGTCCAGCCCTCAGACAGTCAACCCCAAGCTGGGGAAGGCAGCCCCTTCTAAAGATTTAGTTGTTTTTCAGGCCCTGGCCTGGGCTCCTATTTCTGGGGTTGCAAATGTCCTTACAGTCTAAGCTGCAGCATGCAAGTGGGCTTCCTACTGGCTTACCATGATGTTGGAGGCTACAACTGTAGGGTCATCACACACGGACTCGATGAAAAATGCCTGGGAGGAATGAGACAGAAACATTAGAAACAACAAATGCCACGAAGGGCCGACTGTGATGTCACGGTGATGTCAACAGCCTACACAAAGAGAAGGATGCCCTCCGTCCGTTCCCAAAGACATGACAGCCACCTACACACTGCCAAGTCCTTCAGCCTCTTACTGTAGGGTCCTGCCGGGAGGAAGGTCCTATTCTTAAGTGGCAAAATTTGGGAAGCAGGAGGCAATGGGCTGAGCAGAAATCGGGCCCCTGAGGCTTTCGTCTCTCCTGAGCTTGCTGGGACAAGGTGACATTTAGCTTACCTTGAAATCATTTTCTTTGGCAAAATGAAGGATCATGTGTCTCCGCTCTCTAGTGGTATTAGTGGCATCAAAAACCTGATAGGAAAAACACAGGGTCAGAAAGGAGAGGCAAACTTTGAGTTTGACAATATTTACCCAAGGCACAAAGTAAGTCAAACCTGTCATTTCCAAGAATTAGCCTAAAAGTACACTTCTAGGAAAGATGCCTGGGCCTCCGTAGAGGCTTGTGTACAGGCAGCCTCTGTTCTCCTGTCACCTACAGTGCTCAGGAACAGCACACAAAGCAGCAGAAACGTCGTAGGAGGCCGAACACGGAAGGGACCCTGGGTGCGGTGTGGGCAGCAACCTCAGCCCTGCCTGGCTGCCCAGCAAGCGGGTAGGCGACGGAACACCCCACAGCTGTGCTACCCCGAGACAACGCTCCTGAGACACCAGGCTGGTCACTGGCTTCCTCGGACCCACAGAGGCTCCTATCCCCGTGTGTCATCCCTACAGTGGCTGTCCAGGCTCTCAGGCCAGCGAGGCCACTCTGCCAGAGGACTGGACGCCGAGCTGACTGCATTTCCCAGACTTACTGCAATTTGTCCCCCTTCCTTTGTCAGGTAACTCTTGACATCTCTCAAGGCGGCTAAGGCACACTGCCTGCAAACACACAAGAACCAAAAACCACCCATCAAAGCAGGCCCACCCACAGGAAAAGCCAGGCCACCCCACAGCGACACAATCCCCCTTCTAGGCTGCTCAGTACTGACCGGGCCTCCCGAGGCCCAAAAGCTTCCAATCCAAGGCCCAGTGCAGACTGTCTTCGGGTACCCTGGGGCAGCAGTGGCCGCACACGATGGACACTAGAATTATTCCTGGGGAGCTACACAGAATCTGCTGCCAGAGCCCACCCACAGATCCTCACTGGGTAGCCTGGAGTGGGGTCTGTATCAGGAGCTTTATAAGCTCCCCAGCTGATTCTAATGCGTAGCTAGGGCTGAGCACCACCACAATAGGGTTGCACAAGAAATCCTCTTCAGAGGAGAACAGATGACTCCCCGCGAAAAGGACTTTGCTTACTCTTGGGATGCGGCTGCTGTTGCTCTGTGTCACATCAGCTCAGCTAGAGCATCTGGGAACAGATCAGAGCAGCAAGTCTCAGAGGCCGAGAGACTCGTCCTGCACTGAACAGATCTGCTGGCCACCAGCGCAGAGCCACACCGCAGACTGGCTTTCCCTTCCTCTTACAGAGCCTGGCTAACCATGCAGCAACCCAACGCCCAGGGCCTGCAGAGCGGATCACATCTTACTTTCGGACTTTCATGGCTTCTTCATTGTCAGGGCGGAAGAAGTTGTAGGAGCTGTACTGCTTCACCGCCTCCCGGCGATACTCTCCCACATTGAACACTGGGCGGGAAAGACAAGGACACTGGGTAAGCCAGCAGGAGGGAAGCCCAACCCACAACTGGGGGCACGGTCCGACCAAAGACAAAACACCCAACCAGCACCGATCTGAGTAAGGTGATGTCTGGTATGGAAACCGGAGTATGGCCTCCCAGTCCAACCCCGTCTCCCCAGCCCGTCACAGTGCCGACCACTGCCTGCTTTATCACTGGCCCAGCCTCCAAGGCAGCCTCGAAACGCCACGGGCAGCGGCCGAGACTGGGAGCAAGGCAGAGTCAAGTCCAGCAAAAGGAGGGCCAACGACTTCTGTGTAGTGTTCAAATGTGAGTGGGCCTCTCACTCGCTGCAGGGCTTGTCAGCCTTTCTCTCGCTGGCACAGAAGCCAGTGCCAGGGGACGTGTTTCAGTCATTAAGGAATAGGGTGGCTCGGTGGCAGAGCACATGCTTGGCAGGTAAAAGGCTCTAGGTTCAATCCTCAACACCAGAGAAGGAGAGAGAGTTCCTGGACACTGGCTGGACACAATGCGAGAGCGAGAAATATAAAAGCTTGTTCCATCCTCCAAATGTTTCCCATTTAATTTGAAAGGCCAGGCAGAGATTTAGAACAGTGTCGTCAACGCTACAACAGCACGAAGCACTGGAGTACATCAGCAGAGGAATACTCTGACCAAGGGCAATGAGAATTTCAAGGAAAAAGATCTGTGCAGACTGAGGCGGCCAAGGAAAGCTTCATAAAGTGGGGGGTGAACCTGGGTCAGGCAGGGTTTTGGGGGTGGGAAAGGAGAGGAGCTAACAGCAAGGCAAAGAAAGACGTGCACCCAGCATGGTGGAGACAGGGCAGGAATGGAGGCAGAACGAAGACTCCAGAACCCACAACAGAAGTGGCCCAGAAGTGACCCTGCCCACGGGTTCCAGTGACCAGGGGCAGGAGGTCCCGTTTTACAAGTGGGGGAGACACCGGCACAGTCACAGCACTCAATCAAGGTAGTAGCCCTCACCTGGGACCCAGCTCACCTTTCGTTGGGACACCAATCCAGTTGAGGTAGCGAGTCAGCTTCTTAGAGATGTAAGTCTTACCCCGGGCAGGGAGGCCCACCATGACAATCACCGTGGGAGAGTTGGTCAGCTTCGGCCCACACGCTGGAAACAGCAAGCGAGAAAGGCGTCACAGATTAGATTAGATGACAGGCCCTATGCCCAACAGTGAACTTCAAAGAATGGCACTGAGATGTGTATTTCGTTGCCCATCCCAAAGCCCCTAGCATCTGAAAATCCAAGAGGACCAGAGACCCTTCCTAGCCAGAGCCCTTGAGTCTCACCTTATAGCTTGAGCCTGAATCACACCAAGTAGATGTATCGCCTTTTGTGACATCAAAGATAGTCTCCACCCCAAATTACTGGTCTGGGAGGAGGGTCCTAATCCAGCCAGCAATCCCAATCTCTAACTCCAGAGCAGAAGGGCACTCCTTGAGGGCCGTAAGAAAGGGACCCTAAGGGATCAGGGGGAGTGAACGGTAGGGAGAGGCGGTTTCCAAATCCACTGTGCAAACGGAGGATGCAGGTGCAGAAGGACTTGGGAAGTAGGTCACAGAAAGCCAAGAGATGGAGAGAAGCCCACTGTGAACTTCTGAACTTACCCAGGAGGTCTGGGCAGCTATTTGTTTGCGTGTTATGTAGCCCACGGTGGCCTCAAACTCACAGTTACCTTCCATCTCAGCCTCCCAAAGGCTGGGATTACTGGCATGCACAGCCACACCTGACTAGTAGCCAAGTTTAAACAGTAAGAGTTTATCAAATGACTGTAGGTCAGGGACCCAGAAGACAGGTGAATCCCACAATCCCTGACCCACTTCCTCCCTCCTCCTCCCCACCGCCATCCTGCAGCCTATTTCTGCTGGGTATCAGGTCCTCTTGCAGGAGCTGGGTGCAAGGGAGCTGCTGTAGCCTGTGACTTTCCTGGGTTTGGTTGCGGAGTGGGTGTCCCACATTCCTCAGAATCTCAATAAACCCCAGGGAGGAAGGGTTTAACAGAGCAGCCAAAAGAAACTCTCTGGAAAATGACAGCCCAGTATTTCCTTGGCTGCCTGCATTCTAGTGACAAGCTCACAAGCCAGAGGCCGCCTGCCAGCTCCAGCTCTGCCGTCCTCACTCCTTCCTGGCACAGGCAGCCCAGCCTGCAGGGAAAGTTCTAAAAGCCACACCATCCAGGTGGGCAGGCGTCAGATTTGGACAGAGGCTCAGACACTAGGATAAGTCTAAACCAAAGGGAGCGTGGTGGCAGGAAGACATGCCACCACCCTGAGGACAGGGCATGCCCTAAGCCTAAACTGGTCATCAGGCACCAAGCAAGATCTCTGACTCTGCCTCCCAGGTGGGGGAGGCCCAGAGCCAGGCAGCAGCATGTGGTCTGCAGGGGCCCTGTTTCCTTGTTAATAGTCCAGACAGGGTGCAGGACACAGTGAGGCCATCGGGGCATCAGGAGACTTTCTAGAGCCATAGAAAGCTCTCGCTGCATTCCCTCAGGTTCCTAAAGAACAGACGCTGACCACTGCCCAGGGAACACCACCCCCACCACCTCCCCCATACCCTCAGGTGACAAGTATGTGAGTAAGTGAGCCGCACAAACAGGTACCAAAGGGTCTTGTGTCCCTGGGTCAGGAGAGATTCAGAGGACCCATCCCCGTGTGCCCAGGGTTATTCTAGCAGCTGTAATGACACATCAGAAAAGTGACAGCGAGAGCCGGCTACAATGGTGTACTCTCAGCACACTAGACGCCAAGGCAAGAAAGTTTTCAGCCAGCTTCAGCAATTTAGCAATTTCAAAGCCAGCCTGGACTACACAGTGAGATCCTGTCTCAAAAAGCAAAAAAGAAAGAAAGCAAAGTAGCAGGAAGGCTGACGTTTTTTCACTGCGCACGGAAACAAAGTCTGCTCACTGGCCTTTCCAGAAGCCACTGTCCCTCCCCCTTCATCAGGTGACCCAGCAGAGCCACTGCTCCTGAGAGCACGCAGCATGTGTGGAGACAGAAATACACACAGCTGTGTACACACACAGAATACTTGGGCTGGAACCACACCCAGAAAGCAGAGGTAAAGCGGACTGATTTATCAAATCAGGGATTACGTCTATCCACTAATCACAGAAGCAAATCTCCTTTGGCTGTGAGCACTTAGGAAGGGAAAAAACAAACAAGACAGTAGACACAGCAGAGTTAATACCTTAAGGCAAAAATTCAGGTCAAATTCCAAACCCAAATAAACTGTCACTCCCAAAACTGGCAAAGCAGAAGCCACTCTGCCCATTCTCAGATTGGGGTGAGAGGGACCGCCACAGGGACTCAGGCATCCTCTCCTTAGGTGCCCGTCCTCTGGGCCACAGTGCTGAGAGAACCACAAATCCTTCTGACTAAATTGCTATGGTTCTGTTTTGTTTTGTTTTGTTGGCAGGCAGGGGGAGGGAGACTGGGATTAAACCCAGGCCCTCTCTCCTGCTAATAACCCAGGGCTCTGCCACCTGCGCTAGACTCCTTAACCCAGTGGTGGCGAACCCACGGCACGTGTGCCGTAGCAGGCTGTTTGTATCATTAAACATTGTAAAGGTTCGCCATCACTGCCCTAAGCCCTCCACCTTTCTTAAACTCAGCACATCTCAAATCCTGCCATGAGCCTTTAATCTCCTTCCCAGACAGTCCCCAAACCTTCAGTTTCTTCCTCTCACTTTTTACGTCGCGCCACCTTCCCCCACTCCTTCATCTCTCTCACCACCCTTCCTGGGTCTCTGCCTTTTCTCCTTCCCTAACAGCACAGGGATTAGGGACAATAAATTCAATTTAACACACAATCTTCTGAGGCAAATCTTATGTCTCGTTTCACATTATATAAAGGTTTAATACTTTTTCTAACAAAAAGTCCTAATGCTAAGATGTACTTAAATGTCAAACTTAGATGTCCACTTAGACGTGCAGAAGAGGTAGAAATTCACTGTTATAGGGGGAGGAAGCCACTGTCTCAAAAGCACCGGGCCCCAAGGGAGCTCAGACTAAAAGTGCCCATCGCCAAGGTCCTGATCACGGAGTAAGATCTCACAGAAAGTCACCAAGTCCCTGAAGCCGAGCGTCCACTCTACGCCATCAGGTTCGTGCACTCATGACTTCCAAGTCACCTGCTCTGGGTACCAGGAGTTGGGAGGCAAGGGGGGAAAGCAGGGTGAGCCTCTCTGAGCGGGACCACTAAGCCCCATCCTGCCTGTCCACAAGACTACGATGTCAGTTCATGACGCACACAGGCTACCTGTACTCGTTCCGTTAAGATAAACATCACAGGACGCCAAAAGACCAGAGGTAAACTGGTTAGCACAAGAGCAGGATGCTATGGAGAGGATCTGCCAGAGATGTGGGTAAGTCCTCTACCTCAAAGGGCTTGTCTCCTGCCCTCAACCACCCTGATTCCTGGAATTCATCCTCAGAATAAAGATTGCCGGGAGACCTCCTCTGTAGCCCGCTCACTTCCCTTGAACTTCCTTCTACCCTAGCCTTAAAAAAAGGATTTTCAGGGACGGGGATTTAGCTCAGTGGTTCCTCTGCCTGCCTTGCAAGTGCAAGGCCCCAAGTTCGATCCCCCAGTACCCGCCCCCCACAAAGGATTTTCAAATTCAGTCTGTTCTCTTCTAATAAGTAGATGAGTAACAGGTCAACTACAAGTTCAAGGGGAAGGAATGGAAGAGCCCATTCATCACAGAGCTGTGAACCAAGAAGGGATCCACCTCTGTAGCTGCCTAAGGCGACAGAGATTGTGCCTTTACCACCTCAACCTGCTCTCTAGAGCAAAGACCTGTGCGGGTCCTACAGATGCACAACTGCCCTAAGCGAGTCTTCCTGGAAACAGGCTCAATCCACTTGGCCCTTAGGAGGCCAGAATGCAGCACACACCACAGGTTGCTGACTCCTGGGCAGACCTCTTTTCCTGGTGTCATCAGATCTGCCCGCAGCACTCTCCAAGTGTGCCGGATTAACCAGATGTTTGCTTTCAGGGTGGGCTTGAGGACTGGGGGAGGGGTGGAGAATGCGGCGTCCAGAGCCCTCTGCATTATTTGACAGTTACAGCAATATATTCATTACTTTGCACGCACATTTTAACTATCTAATCTTACACCTAATGAAAGGCTCCACATAATCTCGGCCAGCAACACTGTGGGATGGGGTATTTTAGCAACTCAATGACAACCTTGGGAGTCAATACAATAGCGCAGCAAGACCCGGAGGAGTTCAATAAACAGATCAAAGCCTGGCCTCAAGGCTTCCTGGGACAAGCTAAACTCTAGATGTCTTTGTCCCCCTTGCTGCTTGGTGGAGGGATGCTTCCTAGACGCTGCCGTGGGAAAAACCTGCAGCATAATTCATGTGACATGCTCACTGCAGTACCCTCAATCAGGATTAGCCTTCAGGGCTATCACCCTTCCGGAGGGGCAGAAAACTACGCCTCCCAAGTGGAGAGGAGTCACACAGCAAAACCATTAAGTTTGGAATCCTTCCAGTACTCTTTCCTACATGAGTGACTCTCTTAAGTGGCTAACTGTCCAGAGCCTTTAAAAAGTAGGTAACTGGGCTCCATCTGAGGCAATCCTGACCCGGTTTAGGGCTCTACTATGATTTTTTTCCCAGTCTTACTCAAATGATCCTAATGAGTTCAGGATAAGCATCTGTGCTACACACTGTGGGGGCTACCTAAGGACAAGGCAGGGATTTCTCCACCACACGCATCCATCTTCCTTAAGTTACAATGCAAGCATGAGCCGGCACAACTCCTTTAAGAGGAAAATCTACCAGTATTTGAGTGCCACAAGCCCTTTTTCATATGCAATCCCCTGCTGTGCCTACTTTTGAGGCAGGAGGATCGCTGTGAGTTCGAGACCAGCCTGGGCTACATACTGAGTTCCAGGTCAGTCTCGACTACATAGTGAGACCCTGTCTCAAAAAGAGAAAAAAGAAAGTTTTTAAACTGACGCTATTTAAGGCAATTTTGCATGGACCGCTTATTAATTAATGACCCCTTTGCTCCCCTGAGGATGGCAACCTTTTATCTATGTTCCAAGTCCCAACCCTTGGACCCACCACACTGCACAGGACCCCTCACAGCCCTAT